AATTGTCAACTTTCGCCAACTAGTGCCGAAATCGTCTAGAAACATTCAAATGCAAATTCGGGCATACGCTCAAGTCCAAAATTACCATCCAGACCTAACGGAACCATCAATACTCCGATCCGAGGTCAAATACACAAAAGTCAAAGTTGGTCAACTCTTCCAACTTAAAGCTTCCTAGTTAAGAGTCCTTCCAAATCAATCCGGAATCACTTGAAAATCAAAACCAACAATACGTGCAAGTCATAATACACCATATTAAGCTACTCATGACCTTAAAATCACCGAACCGAATGCAAATACTCAAAATAATCGGTCGGGTCATTACAGTTTACACAAAAGTCAAACCTTAGTCAACTCTTCCAACTTAAGCTTCCAAAAATGAAACTAGGCGTTCCAAGTCAATCCAAAACATCCCCAAACTCGGACCAACCATCTCTGCAAGTCATAAAACAACAATCACACCTACACGAAGCATCAAAGGGCGAAACGGGACTCAAACCCAAAATGACCGGCTGGATCGTTACATGTGGAAACAGATTCCTAGGTAACCAATGTGATTCACCTACAACCAAAAACTGCTCCATTTATAAGTTTGTTAAATGATTGCAAGTTTCTCCTTCGGGCAATGGGTACTCCATCTACGTAACGCTGCTTTACGAAGTGCCGAATCTCTAGCAAAAATTGGAAAAGCAAGAGCAGAAATTGGCGTTAACCTGGAACCCTCCTACTGAAATAATTCACCTTCATTTGCTTGGGAACTAATTCAAGTAGATTAGTCCCTTCTTATAATGATACTACTTAACTTTCCTAGCTTTACTGCTTTCAACAAAATATCGCATCTGTTTAGGGGGAAAAAAATGACACTTCAAAACTAAATATACACTTTCTAATCTCATTTTAAGTCATTCTTTGAAGTAAGTATGTCACGAATGAACCGTCTTTCACTTGTATTTTACTAGCTTGCTTTAGTATTCTATTTGAATATCTTTTCCCATTTTTATTATACTTTGAGTTTGTGTTCATATGAAATTCATGAATTATTAATTGCTTGCTACATGTATTAAGATCTATCAAATATTTAAGTTTTTAAGGACTTTATTCTTGTTGAAACTGAAAAGGATGCTTGCTAATTTGTGAAATTAAAGTTATGGAATTATAAAATTGGCACAAATTTTAAGTTGAATTATTGACTTATAAATGAAGACTTCTATGAGACAATTTCTTTCTTAATTGAGTTAATTCTACATTATCCATATTCATGACCATTATTACGAACTTACACTTTTATTTTATAATTTAAACATAAATTTTATTAAATTTATAAATAGAGCACATGTGCATCACGCGTAACCTGAGACAAGTTCTAATATATTAGAACCTAAAAGTATTTAGATATTTTATCATCATATAAAATCTAATATCTAGAATATTCAGGAGTATCTGACTTCAACAAATTAACTTTTATTTTATGTGGCATTTCAGAAAAATAACAAAGAAGAGTCAGCTCCATTTCAGTACTTCCAATTTGCAAACCTACCGCCCACCAGAGAAGGAAAAAAATGTAATGAAACTGGAAAGAAAGAAATGGACTTGGACATTTCCTTTAAAGATTGATTATGGAATCTTGACAAAAATAAAGTTGGAAACTTGTTTGGTTCCACAAGAAAGTGGAAGACTGGGCAAATGTTCGAGACTCTCCATCCAAGTTGAACTGCTTGTTCGCCAGTTACTCTTACGCCAATCATACGTTGGAAAGGTGGGAAAATCCTGATTCAAAGCTTTCGTGGCACACAACTTGTCTCTTACAAGCAGCCAAAGGAGAAGAAGTGGGACAACTTTAATTTGAAGTCTCAAATGTTATCTTAAATTTTAATTGTGTCCCGACCCGGAATTCCCAACCTCGAGATCGTGATGGCGCCTAATATCTACTTGTTAGGTAAGCCAACGTTATTAAATTAATTAATCAGTTTTAACAATTATTACGGGGTGATGATAATTAACGATTAACAAATTCAGAAATGGACACAGTATTAATATAAATAACACGGTGCTAAACTACTCCTAGAAATTTAGAGTCACAAGTACATGAGCAACTAGAATACTACAAATACGGTCTGAAATAAAGTACAACTGCTTGAAAATAAATAAAAAGTAAAAATGGATAAAGAAAGGGACTCCAGGGTTGCGGACGTCATGCGGCTACACCTCAAGTTTCCAAAAGCAGTTGAATCCGAGCAGACTCGCTACACGCCGCTGGGACTAACACCGATATCTACATAAGAAGTGCAGAAGTGTAGCATGAGTACAACTGACTCCATGTACTCTGTAAGTGCCGAGCCTAACCTCGACGAAGTAGTGACGAGACTATGACAAAGCACTTACAATAAACATGTACGAGACATTATTAACTGAAATAGGAATAGAATATAAACAATAAACTCAAGTAACCGGACCCGTAGATCAACTACCATAGAGCCCTAGAATAACACTTTTGCTCATTTTTTCTCAAAACAACGGTACTACAGTCAAACATAATAAAATAAGTCTTCTCCGTTGCGGCGTGCAACCCGATCCACAATAAATATAAATGTCAATTCTTCTCCGTTGTGGCGCGCAACCCGATCTCACCATATCATCATCTGTTCATATCATATTCCGTCCTTATCTTATTATATCATATGAGTTCAATACTGTTGCGACGTGCAACCTGATCCCATCAATTACAATAATTACCGTTGCAGCGTGCAACCCGATCCCAAACAATATGAATTGAACGAACAAACTACAACCAACTACGGCGTATCACAAAATAAAGCGCAATAAGGAAATAATAAAGCAAGGAAAGTCGCAAAGCGGATAAAACAGTTATATTATAGCACACAAATCAAATAGCAAGTAATGACAGTTAATAAATAAAGACACGAATCAATTAACATTAAGGCATGTAACGGATAAAGGCGTGAATTCAACAAGTAATTGAAATTAACAATTAAGGCATGTAACAATTAATAACATAAATTAAATAAGGCAAGAATAATTGAAACCGATAAATAAATATCACACCCCGCATGCTTAACCCACGACTACGCATATACACTCGTCACCTTGCATTATACGCCGCCATCCCCACACATAAATCAAGTAGAAATTAAACCAATCAAGTCCTAAATTCCTCAAGTCAAAGTTAGGCACAACACTTACCTCTTTCCGCAATCAAATCAACACTCAACCACGACCTTTCGTTTAGAGTTAGCCTCCAAAACCGATCAAATCTAGCCAAATATAATTCAAATAATTCAAAATAAGCTATAGAAACTACACACGAGTGAAAAAGATTCGATCTTTGATGAATTTGAAAAAGTCAACAAAAGTAGACCTTGGGCTCACTTTGCCAAAACCCGAGATTCGGACCAAAACTCGATTACCCATTCACCCTCGAGCCCAGTAATATGATTTGTTTTGAAATACGACCTCGATTTGAGGTCTAAATCTCAATTTTACAAAATCTCCAATTTTTACCCAAAATCCCTAATTTCTACCATGAAAATCCTAGATTAAAGGTTAAAATAAATGGGTGATTATGGAAATATAATAAAATAGGTTACAATTCACTAACCAATGAAGTAGTGATGAATAATCTCCTCAAAATCGCCTCTAGGCCGAGCTCTAGCTTCAAAAATGGTGAAAAATAATTCAATCCCGACTTTCAGGTCTTTTAATACCTGGGCGTGAGGTGTTCTTCGCGTTCGCAATGCACTGGCCAATTGGCCTTCGCGTTCGCAAAGGCTTAAGTCTCACCTGCCTTTTCATTCGGGAACCAAGGTCCGTGTTCACGGAGAGTAACCATTTGCCCTCCCCAGCTCTCCCCAATGAATCGCGTCCGCGAGTGGCTTGTCGCATTCGCGAAGGGTAAGCGCCCATTCGCTTCCCGTTCCAGACCAGGCCCTCGCGTTCGCGATGAACAATCCATCCACAACCCCAAACTTTCCCTCCGCGATCGCAAGATAAGCTTCCCGATCGCAAAGCACAACACACCAGAAACAGTTGTTGCACAAGTTCAAAATGATCCGAAACATATCTGAAACTCACCCGAGTCCCTCGGCACCGAACCAAACAAGCACACAAGTGTAATAACATCATATGAACTCGCTCGCGCGATCAAAATACTAAAATAATATCTAGAACCATAAATCGGACATCAAAACGCATGAAATTCAAAAGAAAACTCAAGAACCTCTAAACCACAACCAAGTGTGTGAATCTTATCAAACCAACTCCGAATTGCACCAAATTTTGCAGAAAAATTTTAAATAGCAAAATGGACCTATACCAAGTCCCAAAATCAAAATCTGTACCCGATAACCATAAAGTCAACCTACGGTCAAACCTAGAAAATTTTCAAACATTCAAATTGCTAACTTTCGGCAAAACAAGTCAAATCAATCTAGGGACTTCCGCTTTTAATTACGGGCATACACCCAAGTCCAAAATTACGATACAGACCTATCGGAATCGTCAAAATATCGATTCGGAATCGTCAAAATACCGATTCGGAATCGTTCACCCAAAATATTGACCGTAGTCTACTCAAGTTATTTTTAAAGTCAATAATCATATTTTCTTCAAATTTTTACATAAAAACTTTCCGGAAAAAGACACGGGCTGCACACACAAATCAAAAAATATCAAATGAAGCTAATAGAGGTCTCGAAACACGAAAATAAGGGCTAGTACTCAAAACGACCTATCGGGTTGTCACACATAGTGAGATAGTTTAGTGTATTATTTATTTTATCGTATTTCTTTACTATGTATTTCTTTTATGTTTCTGGCATAATTTAGTTTCAAACCCTGACAACTCTACTGTTTTGTGGATGCTTTTAAATGCTGGTAGAACTTCAATTCTGCCTATATAAGTAAAATGAAAATGTTAGGAATTAAAAAATTTGTAGATGTGAAAATGTGTTACTGAAAATTAAGAGATGTCACATAAAGGGTGAAGAAAAAGTTGTTGATGGGTGAAGTGTCTCGCTCTAGTGGGGAAACTTCCCCACTGGGTTTGTTGACTTTAGCATAAAACATTCTCTTTCAGCAACCAAGGTAACATTGTTTTCTTTTTTTCTTTTTATAGCAATTCTTCTCAACCGTGTGCAGCAAAACAACCATGGAAAGCAAAAATAAATATTTTCTTCTTTTCCTCAAACTTGTATTGTTCTCGTGCTTTTCTTTCGAAGCTAAGACAAACACTACGAACCAAAAATTGTCCCTTGGGGATACGCTTGATGCAGAGAAATCCATTACTATTGGCGTAACTATGGTCTCTTCCGGTGGAATATTTGAGATGGGCTTCTTCACACTTGATAATCTATCAAATTATTACATCGGTATATGGTATAAACAAATAACCCCACAAACCATAGTTTGGGTAGCAAATAGGGAGACTCCTCTTTCGTTTTTAGATATGGAATCCGCAGAGCTCAAAATTATGCAGGATAACTTGGTGCTTCTCAACGGGAATGAACTCTCAATTTGGACGACAAATATTAACTCCAGCACGAAGAAACCTGTGGTTGCGATTCTTCGTGATGATGGGAATTTGATTTTGAACCATGGGTCCAATTCACTGTGGCAAAGTTTTGATCATCCAAGCCACACATTTTTGCCTGGTTCTAAAATTGGCTACAACAGAAAAACTAAAACACAGCAAGCTCTTACTTCTTGGACCAACTCTGAAGATCCTAGGCCAGGGCTCTTTTCCCTTGAGATGGAGTCTAACGGTGAATCCATTGTTAGGTGGAACAAGACTGTAGAATATTGGTCAAGCGGACCTTGGAATGGACACAGCTGGGGCACAGTACCTCTGAAATCAAATCCCATGTACAATTTCACGTTTATAAATAACACGAATGAGGTATATTTTTCATATTATATTTTTAATCCTTCGGTTATGTCAAGATTCATAATAGATGTCACGGGGGAAATTAAGCAGCTGACGTGGTTGAATAGTACCAAGCAGTGGAATATGTTTTTCGCTCAACCAGTACAATCATGTGATGTTTACGGTTATTGCGGTGCATATGGTGCATGCAATGACAGCTCAAGTATTCCCTTGTGTGATTGTTTGCCTGGTTTCACTCCTAGATCAAAGAAAGATTGGGATTTGAATAGTTTCTCTTTTGGTTGTGAGAGAAAAACAAGTTTGAATTGTGGTAATGCTAGTGCATCTATTTTGGAGGAAGACAAGTACTGGATGCATTCTCATATGAGAATACCAATTGATAATAATATTTTAACCGTTGGTAGTGCACCAGAATGTGAATCCACTTGTTTGAATAATTGCTCTTGTACTGCTTATGCTTTTGAGGACAACAAATGTCTGACTTGGGATGGAGACCTCTTCAACTTGCAACAACTCTCCGAAAATGATGCAAGTGGAATTACAATTTATGTAAAACTAGCTGCTTCTGAATTTTCAGCTCCCAAAGGTATTCACAGATTATATATTCATCCTCTTGAGATTTACTTATTTTATTCTATATGACAATCTTTCCAAAGTCATTTTTTCTATATTTGAAAAAACTATTAACATTAAAATCCCAAATTTATCATCAATGACATGCTCATATTGTCATCGAAATGTAATAATATATTTTACATCACAAATTCTATGGGTACTTTGGTAAGTGTCAAGTCTTCCCTTATTTTACATCCCATTTCCGTTCATTCATTACCACACAATTGAGTGGAATAGATAGAGTACTATTTGGTTATTCTATATGTTACTTATTTAGTTAGTATTTATTTAAAGCGATCATATTTCTGTTATTGCTACAGCAATTGCATACAAAACACATAAATCAAGAAGGCTAAAAGTTGCTATTCCTACTACAATTGCCACTACTATTTTCCTATGCAGCCTTATCTGCCTATTCTATAAAACAAGGAGAGCAAGAAGTAGAGGTAAATGCATGCAAATTCTCTTCTTGATGAATTATAACTTCATTTTACTAGCCCTTATAAAATTATATATGTTACCTTTATTCTTTTTATCAAGGAAATCCACATCTACGCAGCTGGTTGAACACTGAAAAGGGAGAAAATGACTTAATAGATGAAGAGGATGAGAAAGGCATCGAAGTTCCATTTTTTAGTTTGGAAAGCATTCTAGCGGCAACAGATAATTTCTCAGAAGAAAATAAGTTAGGACGCGGTGGTTTTGGCCTTGTTTATAAGGTTCCCGCAAAGTATCATTTTTTCTTAGTTAAACCTTGTATTTACGAGCTATGTATATTTAATAAAGTAACATAATTTACTGAAAATATGTTCAGGGAAAATTTCAGGGAGGACGAGAAATTGCAATCAAAAGGTTATCAGCCCAGTCTAGTCAAGGTATTAATGAATTCAAGAATGAAGTAATATTAATTGCAAGACTACAACATCGAAATCTCGTTAGACTTATGGGTTACTGCGTCCAAGGAAATGAAAAGATCTTGCTCTATGAATATATGCCAAATAAAAGCTTAGACACATTCATATTTGGTTAGTACTCTTCGCATAAGATTAATTTTCAATATTTCTAAATGTAAGATAAACTACTATTTTTTTGTTATTGATTTTTACAATTTTGTTGTATGATAACCACACAAGATGAAAGAAATCATGCGTTAATAGATTGGAAGAAGCGATTTGATATCATCTCGGGTATTGCTCGAGGACTTCTTTATTTGCACCACGATTCAAGGTTGAGAGTCATTCATAGAGATTTAAAAACAAGTAACATATTACTTGATAAAGAGATGAACCCCAAGATTTCAGATTTTGGCTTAGCAAGGATTGTCCAAGGGAATATTACGGAAGCAAATACAAATAAAGTTGTTGGAACATAGTAAGCTCAATTTCTAGATGCAATTCTTGTTTTAGTACTTGATTCAAGTCGTCACTTCTCAAATTTTGCATTATATATATATTAATCACTTTTGCATTGTACAGTGGTTACATGTCTCCAGAATATGCATTAGATGGATTGTTCTCAATCAAGTCAGATGTTTTTAGTTTTGGTGTAATTATGCTTGAGATCATCTGTGGCAAGAGAAATACAGGATTTTATCAGCGGGAAGAAGCGTTAAACCTCCTAGGTTATGTGAGTGAAAATATCCTAAACTCTAGTCCTGTTTTTTTCTTTTTTTCTTTTTTATAGATATTTATTTTGGTGACTGTATAATCTCTTATCCTAACTCTGAAGTTATATTTCAGGCATGGAGATTGTGGAATGAAGGAAATGCTATGAGCTTAGTTGACGATTCCTTACTTGAATCATGCAATGAAGAAGATGCATTAAAATGCATTAATATTGCGCTCTTGTGTGTACAAGAAGATGCCAATATTCGTCCAAGCATGTCAGACGTAATTATAATGCTTGGTAGTGAAAGCATTTCCATTCTAAAACCTAATAAACCTGCTTTTACGGTAAGAACACGTGCTTATAGCACAACAACTTTGCCCTCAAGTGAGTCATACATCAACTCCTACAATGAGTTAACAGTTACCCTAGAAGATGGCCGGTAACTTTGATTTTAAAAGTTGATTGAATTTATCCTAACTACTAGAGGGAGGACGCATGTGATCTACATTGGCTCAAACATATTAGGTATTTAATTTTAATTGAGATGGTGATGGTAAACATGTATTGAAATCAAAATAGATTACCATAATCGTAAGAGCATTTTATAGTATATACAACATAGTATATTATGGCTCTTTTTTTTTTTACAGTATGTGCTAAAAGCCTTAAAGAAACAACCAATCTAGAGCTCATTTACTGCATCTTTTTCAACTTGCTCCTTGATTATCTGCATTCCATTGAAATTTATAGTTGTTCAAAGTATTTGGTATTTAGTTGCCTTGTCTTGTAGAATGGTATTGCATATCATGCTCAATTCAGTGAAGACTGGACCACTTTTTTCCTTGATGGAGGACTTGGTGGTACTACTCACACGAAAAATGAGCTCTACTTAATGAATAGAGCACAACGGCGTATACCGTGAGCAATTTCAAAGAAAAACTGAAATTAGCTAGGCAGAATGATAAAATCTCCATAGGGTGATAGCCAAAGTTGCTAAGTACGAATGACCTAAATCTCTTTTTGGTTAGCACAAATCAACAATCATATGAGTATAATATATTTCAAAACAACATATCTGCCTTATATATATAATGGGAATGAACATAAGACTTGTCATACTAAACTCTTATACCGGAGAAAACTTGTCAAGTTAAAATTTACCAAAGAATCTGTCACAACCCTTGAAATCCCACCTTAGGTAGTCGTGAAGGCACCTAGTCTCTAAGACTAGGTAAGCCTAACACACATTGAGAATTTTAATAGAAATAACGACTGAGATATTAAACTAAACTGATAAATCTCATAATAAAACCCAAATGGAACAATAGTCATATATTTTTCCAAAAGTGGTGGTATAGAGTCATAAGCTCTATCGAATTACACTAAGAATCTCTAATACAATATTATTCGGAAACAAGGAAAAACAGTAGTGTAAGATCAATAGAAGGTGACTCCGAGGCCTGCGAGCGTCAAGCAGGTATACCTTGAAGTCTCCAAAGCGTCTGAATCAACTCACTGGCATCCGGCATGGGCAGAAATACCTGGATCTGTATAAAAATATGCAGAAGCATAGTATGAGTACACCACAACGGTACCCAGTAAGTTATCAAGCCTAACCTCGGTAGAGTAGTAACGAGTTCAGGTCAAGATACCTACTAGACATAGAAACTTGTGCACAATATTAATGTAATCTAACAACGGGGAAGTAAAGGCAATAAATGACAACAAAGCGATTTATAATACAAGGCTAACAACAAAAATAAAAGCAACAAATGACAACAAAGAGTGTACATATGATAAAGACAACAAGTAACCAATTACAATCAAAACACGAATGGAATGAAGTAAGGAAGCAAAACAATAACCGTTCAAATTAACAAGTCTTTCCAATATAGAATGTATGAAAAGAATTGCACTGAGGTACCACACCTCATATTCACATTTCATAAGTCACTATCACAATCTTCCTTATATCGTCGCGTGAGCCTTGCATATATTTTTAAAAATACGTTTCTCGAAATAGCTTCACGCGTTTTAGCCCCCTTATCTCGCCGCGTGGCTTCAAGTAATTCCCTTGACAGCAACACGTGCATAAATCTCACCTTATCTCACCACCTGCGTATCAATACACCACCCTTATACCGTCGCATGCTTATCAATATCACAAAACAAGAATCGACTCGCACCACACGTGCCCATATGCCATAATATTTCCAAAATCAACAATACCAATGTCACCACAATACATAACCCACGGCTCAATCACAATGTGTACAAGAATTTCAATAACAATAAAATGAACGGGAAATAGCTCAACAAAGAAAGATATCCAATAACCAACAACTTCAACCACAAAACGTGTTAATAGACCTCAATAGCCACAACTTCAATAATCTCAAAAATGAAGGTATTTCCATGAAATGGCAATTTCAATTTCAAACGCATAACATAAGCTCAACAATAAAAGAGATAGCATGAAATAAAAACTATGACTAAATGCATAAGAAAAGCTCAACAATGGAAATGATAACATGTAATAATGTAACGACCTAGCCGATCGTTTTGTGTATTGTAGCCTTGTTCCCCTATTTATCACTTTTTATATGTTCATTTGTTGTTATATGACTTTTCGGGGCGATTGGATTGGTTTCGGGGAGGTTTTGGGGTGAATTGGGACACTTAGTTCCAAGGTTGGAAGCTTAAGCTGAAAGAGTTGACCAGAGTTTGGCTTTTATGTAGACGACTCCAGAATAGAGTTTTGATAGTTCCAATAGCTTTGTATTGTGATTTTGGACTTAGGTGTATGTTCGGATATTTATTTGGAGGTCCGTAGGTTGGTTTGAGGCTTTTTGGCGAAAGTTGGAAAGTTGAAGGTTTGGAAGGTTGAGAAGTTTAACCGAGAGTTGACTTTGTTGATACCAAGTTCGTATTTCGGTTTCGGGAGTTAGAATAGGTCCATTGTGTCATTTGGTACTAGTGTGCAAAATTTGAGGTCATTCGGAATTGATTTGGTATGGTTCGACATTGGTTTTAGAAGTTGGAAATTCATTAGTTTTGTTAGGCTTGAATTGATATCCAATTCATGATTTTGGTGTTGTTTGATGTGATTTGAAGGTTCGAGTAAGTTCGTATCATATTTTAGGACTGGTTGGTGTGTTTGGATAGGGTCCCGGGGGTGTTTCGGATTTGTCGGACCATGTTTTGGACTTGAGGAACTGATGATAATTGGTGTCTGGTTTTCTCCTTCGCGATTGTGAGGAGGAGGACACAATCGTGTAGATTTTTCAGGTGGCAGGCAAAATGTAGTTCGCGAAGTGGTGACACGTTCATGAAGCTTTGGATGGCTGTGGTCTTTGCGATCACGAATGTGCGTTCGCGTTCGCATTGTAGAGTGGCTTCAGCTGAGGTGTCAGGCGTAAGCCTACGGGATCACAATGTTTGTTCCGCGTTCGTGTAGTTCTGGAGCGTCTGTTCCTCGCACTCACAACTCTGAGATCTCGTTCGCGTAAGGCATTTTGGTGGAGCTGGAAGTTTTTCTACGCGATCGCGAGGGTTTGTCCGCGATCGCGAAAGGCAAATGAGTGGGAGGGTTAGAGTTATTATATCACATTTTGAGTTGAGAGCTCGGTTTTAGGCGATTTTAAAGGGGATCTTCACGACTTGGATTGGGGTAAGTGTTTTTGACTCGGATTTGTTCATTATTCATGATTCCATCTTAGTTTTTATCATTTATTTGGGGATTTGAAGTAGAGAAATTGGGAATTTTGTAAAAGCTTTTCAAAAATAAAAATTGAGGATTTGAAGGTCGGTTTGCAGTCGGAATTGGATAAATTTTGGTATGGTTGGACTCATATCGGAATGGGTATACAGAATTTATGAGTTTGACCGAGTTTCGGGGTGCAAGCCCAGGGTTGACTTTTTGATTTTGTTAAAGATCGAAACTTTATTGTTTGAAGTTGTTTCCCACATCATTATTGATGATATTAAATTGTTTGTGACTAGATTCGAGTCATTCAGAGGCCGATTCGCGTGGGAAGGGCTTGTTGGAGTATTGATTTGCGCGTTTTGAGGTAAGTAACATTTCTAAACTCGGAATTGAGCGTAATTATCTCTGGGAAACATGTTATTTGTGTTGTGTTGGGGTGACGCACATGCTAGGTGATGGGCATGTAGGCGTGCACCGTGATAATCATGATCCGGGTTGACTTTTATAATGTGATGCTATCAAGTCTTGTTTTATCCATGTAATTCCTACTTGTTAGATTAATTGAGTCATAATTCATGATAGAAATAATATTTAGGCTATATGGTTATTTGATTGAGACCTGATAAAGCTATTTATGTTATTTTGGATTATCTAATTTAACTATATTTTACATCCAGTCATGATTCTTCAATGGCGTGTCTTATCTCAGTGTCTATATATCATTCATTGTTACATCGCATGTTATCATTGTTGAGCCATATGTGGAGTTGTTGGGCTGAGTGATACGAGATTGTAAGTCCTTGAGACTTGAGAGATTGATGACTGAGGTGGGCCTTAGAGCCGTGTTTAGAGTGTTATTGTGGATCGGGTTGCACGTTTCAGCAGACCATATTGGCTTTACTATTATTATTATTATTATTATTATTATTATTATTATTATTATTATTATTATTATTATTATTATTATTATTATTATTATTATTATTATTATTATTATTATTATTATTATTATTATTATTATTATTATTATTATTATTATTATTATTATTATTATTATGTGGATCGGGTTGTATGCCGTAGCAGGTCTTATTGGCTTTTTGATTAGCGCTTGGGCAGGATCCGCCCCTCCGGAGTCTGACATACCAGCAGTGAGCTCAGATACAGTGATATATACACGTATTTTGGTGAGGGGCATTGGTGTCAGGCACCCGTACAGTGCTGAGTATTTGTGTGTGTGTGATGAGGTGGGCATTTGAGATAGTCATCTTGAGTGAGTTGAGAGTGGGAGTATCTGGGAATATCACCGTGAAATCATTCATTTGGTATGCATACTTGACATGTAGGCGTAGAGATATACCATTACTCATGCTAGCTATAATTGGCATGTTCCTATCAGTGTTGGGATTTAATTTTTGAATTTGAAAGCATGTATAAATTTCTGTAATATGAGCGAGTCGATTATGATAATTCCTTTGAGTTATTTATTGTCATTGTCATCATTATATATATGTTGTCATTATATTGGGTTCTGACTGTCCTCTTCTGAGCTCATCACTGCTTTAAGAAAAATGTTAGTTTTGTTACTTATTGAGTACATGGGGTCGGTTATACTCATACTACACTTTGCACTTCGTGTGCATATCCAGGTGCATCTGGACGCGGGGATTGCTAGATCCGAGTTAGTACTAGTGTTCGGAGACTTCGAGGTAGCTGCTATGACGTCCGCAGATCTTGACTCTCTTTCCTTTATGTTTCTATTATTGTTCTACTGTTCCACAATAATAGAATCACCCACTGGCATAGATACATGAACATGCGTAACTAAAGAATCATGGGGAATATCCAAATAACGAGCAAAGTATGATGACACGTATGAATAAATGGAACCAGGGTCAAATAATACTGAAGCATCCTTGTGGTACACTGAAACAATACCTGTGATCACGGCATCGGAAGAAATTTCCTCTGGCCTAGCGA